CGGGCAGGCCGCGGGTTCGCGCTGCCGTGGACTCTAGATGAGTCGTTGTTGGACGTGGAGGGAGGTATCGGGATTCGCCCCTCGTGGAAGGGGACGGACGAGAGCAGGACGCAGGAGGAGGTCGAGGATCAGAGACATTCATGGCTGCGAGACCAGAGCTCCTCCGGGTGATGTGGGCGATGTTTTTGGGACTCGAGCAGCCATATTGCACCCGTACCTTCGAGACGACAGTGATTCCGAGGGTCACGAGGACGAGGACGAGCCAGTGGGCCCCGCTAGCGCCACTCATGAGGCGGCTGAGCGTGATGAGTGGAGCGACCCAGAGGACGTCCGCAGACGGATTGGCGGAGATGACCTTTTCGTTCGAGTTGATCTGGAGGAGTCTGGGGGTCGTCATGGGAGCCCTTTAGAGCGTCCGAGGCCTACGTCCACTGCTCCGCTTCCCGCTGAGCGGAAGACAGATCCTGGGTCTGCACCTTCGAGGGGGCTGAGTCGGGGATTGGCCATCGTCCTCAGGGTCGCTCTGGCATGGCATCATCCACCGCTCTTCCCACTTCGACGGACCAGCTTCATCGGCAGCTAGCCGGTTCAAATCGATTGCAGAGATTGGTGAGGGGTCCGAGACAGCGATTGGAGGACAGATTGGAGGGCGGTCCTATGCTGGTGCAAGGTGACGACGGAGACAGACAGGGGTTGGTTGGTGGAGATGGTGGTGCGATGGCCGGAGGTGGAGGCGGTGCCGAGGTTGATGCGGCGGTTGAGGGGATACCGATGGGCGGCGGAGGCGGTTTCAGTGAGTTTGGCGATATGGGTATGCCCCCGGGAGAGAGCGTGGGTCTTCCCCGTGGAGACAGCGAGTCCCGTGGGGACATTAGTGTGGGAATGCAGGCCTTATTGGGACAGATCAGCCTCCTGGACCCGAACAGTTTCTCCCCTGCCATGCACGGAGAGGTGATGTCGGGGGCAGAGGGAGACGAGGATCGCACACCTCCTGGAGAGACATCTGAGGAGAGGTTGGATAGGCTTGAGAGTCGTCGAGCATGCCTCATGGCACAGAGGGACCCCAGGACGCAGGAGCTCGCCCGTCTTGCGGCCGAGGACCGACAACGGCAAATGGGGACATATACGACGGCGTCTGTTGACGTGGGGCCAGCTGCCCACACGGATACTCCTGCAGAGGTTCACGACACGACGCAGTGGGAGGCGGCTTCGGCAGAGGTTTCGAGTACGGGTGTAGATGTTCAGCAGGGGACGCACGAGAGCGGGTTGGCACCGACAGAGGAGCCACGTTCGGAGCCGGCGCAGCCTCCTGTCGTGCAGCTGAGGCCAGAGGAGACATTGCAGGAGGTCGCGGGCGTGCCTCTGCCCGCGGGTTCAGTTGAGGGTGCCGTGCATATGTCCCCAGGTTTGGAGGACATACAGACGGGGCAGTCAGTGGGCGTTGATGATATTCGCCTATCGGCGCAGGCGGAGGGGATAGCGCCGACCACCGGGGGGGACGGGGCCGTGGCGGGGGCCGTTGGTTTTGGCGGGTCGGAGGTGCCGCCCGCGGCCGATCTGATGTCCACGTCTGGCGGGGGAGACCCCGCACAGGTGGACAGGCGTGACGCGGATGGACAGGATATGCCACAGACTTTGGTGCTTCGCACTGCTGTGGGGCCAGTGGTGCCACATCAGGCACCGTTTTTGGAGGGTTATAGGCGTCCTGCACAAGGCGGTGGCCAGGTCGAGGAGCGACGTGTAGGCAGGGGCACATGCATACCCCCGGTCCCTACTTTTGCGCCGTAACGGACGAGGCCAGAGATTAGGCATGTGGCTACGCCTCGAGGCAGCCTCCCTTTTGGTTTTATGACCGCTGAGGAGTTGGAGGACCACGGCAGGAGGGATTTGACGGAGATCAACCAGCGTGTTTTGAGGTCAGTCCCTGAGGAGGGGAAGCTTTCTCACGTGCAGGACTTGTTTTGGGGGCCAGCCAGCCCCAGCTTACCTTCTGGGTGTTCCGTCGCAGCGCCATCTGGCGGGGCTGCAGGGGGCTTACCTTCTGGAGGTTCCGTCGCAGCGGCATCGGGCGGGGTCGCAGGGGACTTACCTTCTGGAGGTTCGGTCGCAGCGCCAACTGGAGGCGCTGCAGGCCCTTCATCACCCTTGAGCATAGCTCCGAGGGAGGGCGGCAGCCTCACCCCGAGGTCGGTTGCCCGTAGGCGGAGAGACACTACCCAGCGTGCGCGGGAGTTGCTGGACACCATGTTGTTCGGTCGCACAGATCGACCATGGAGTGAGACGAGACGGGTGATGACGGCGAGTGCCGGTCGTCAGCTAGGTTTGAGAGGCGTTTCCACGAGCGCGAGACGTCGAGATGTTGTAGCTGCAGGGTTTGGCGGCAGAGGGGGTGGCGACGGTGGCAGTGGTGGCGACGGTGACGGCAGACGTGAGGGCGCAGGCGGTGCCACGACAAGCGCAGCGGATCCGCCGCGGACGTATGGTTTGAGAGAGGCGTCGATTATTTTGGAGGAGCCTGATTTTGTTACACGACTGAGGCAGGCCCGACACGTGCCCTTAGATCGACGCCAGGAGTGGGAGACTTCAGGGACTGACGGTCTACCTATGGCACGCGAGTCACGCCCACGTGATGACCTAGCAGCAACAGCCATCAGGACGGTGAGAGGCAGGAAAGTCATTATGGACGACGATCCGGACGAGCTTCCCGTCGCTCCTGAGCCTTCCGCTGGCGGACACGGCGGCTAGCGTCAGAGAGATTGAGGAGGTGGCAGGGGTCGGTCCCACGGAGGAGTTTCTCATCGGTCCGAGCGAGATCCGCGTGCGCACGACGATCGTTGACGGATTACGGACTTGCATTTTCGTGATTTACTCAGTGTACTTTAGTTTTTCGTTATCCATGACAGACGTAGTGTCTCGTGAGGTTGTATTATAGTCCACTTTCCAGTGGGTACTTTTCTGCGCAGAYGTAGTGTTTCRTGATGTTGTATTATAGYGTACTTTMCAKKAGGCAGTTTTCTCCAGTTTGCTACTTCRGGGATTGTAGCTTTCCAGTGTATTTTAGTGTGCTTGTTCATCGGCATTTTCGGGTTGGTAATTTTTTCCACAGACTGGCGGGGCTTCGACACCATGTGTCAGTTTTTTGCTATTATCCATGCTATATTGGTTTGCGTTTTGCTTCGATCATTACATCTTGGCATTTGTGATGTTTCTGTTTTCAGACGACGAGTGTTTTGTGTGCTTCCAGACCCCTCATAACCCAAACCCTCCCGTAGCCCCCCCTGGCACCCC